CCAGGCCTGAACCAGAACCAGTCATTATCTCAGTGCTTGTGTCAATAAACTCTGTTAAACCTTTTACTCCAGTTTCTGTCTCAGTGGTGTTCTGCATAATTGGGTCACACCAGTGAACCCATCATGACATAAAAAGGTTTGCAAAACGTCTTGGAATGCAAACACAGCTCTTTTATCAAGAATATAGGGGAAAGCTGTCTCTAACTGACACCACAGTGTCATCAGGAAGCTGAGGTCAGTTAAAGAACGGGTATTCCCGAACATGACCATCATAGAATTCCACAGCTTTGCTGAGTCAAACACCCTTCTTGACACACATTTACTAATGTCTGATGTGTTCTTATACATATCTACTATCTTGTTACATTGTTTTCTACATTAAGGGTATAAATTAGGTTTAAATATGAGTGATGATTGGCTTAGATCATCCTTCTAATCAGCATTATTTTGTTTTTGGTGTTTGTATATGGCCAGATGGCAACCTTACAAATACCTACCTTTACAAATCTCATTTAATGATCTGGTTTATCTGCAAATTTTTATTTTTAAATTCTGCTATGTCTGAAGCTGTTCCTGTGGTCCCCAACCAGACTGGTCATAAGGACATTTCACAAGCTCTAATAAGTTTTTATCATGAATAAATCTGCTGTGCCATATGCCATGATCATGGTTTTTGGAAATCACAACAAATCTAACAAAAATATAATCATGATTACATTCCAGTATAAAGAACATGTTAAGATAAACTTGTTTTCTACTGTGGAAACAGACCCAAAAACAAATTCAAGTCTGAGGAATTCTGGCCCCTCACCTCGCCACACCTATTATCAACATAACTGGCCTCATAACTGGGTGGGTGGGTAGAATATCATCATCTGTGGGGCCCTTGAAAGCTGTTCAATACTGGGAATGTTTAAGTATTTAAGAAGTCTAATCACTGGTTAAAAAAACAAAAACAAATCAAGTATTTTGGTTGAGCCCATCTGAGTCCACATTTATCCAGCAGTGTGATTGTTCTGCAAGAAGTTAATTCCTTGTAAAAGTTGTCCTCTCCACAACCTCTTTTTAAACAGGAAATGTAGCACATTTTATTGTGTTGCAACTTTGAGGAAACAACTTGATCAGCAATTTTCTGCACCAACGTACTAAAATCATCCTTCCTGTGTGCAGCAAGTTGTTTCCGTTGTCTGGTTGTCTGGGTGTAAAATGCAATTACCTAATGAAAATACTGTATGTGGTATTTCTTTGTTGTTACAGCTGTTGCAGCTAAGATCGCTGATACAACCCACAACATACAAACCATAACATACAACCCATAAAATACAACCCATAACATACAACACCACAGAGTCACATACTATGGATGCACAGTGGCTTTTGACAACAGGCTGGATGCTGCTTGGATTAAGTTATGCAAATTGTTAAATATATCTAAGGTGTCTCTCGATCTTATATCAGCAGGCAAGGGATCTCTCAATCCCAGTTTCCTAATTTAAGAATAATAAAAGTATCAGTGAACTATTCCTTTAATTTAGAACTGGATCACAAGTTAGGTCCTACCCCACCACTGTTTACCCAACCGAGCAAAAATTGTTTGAAAAGACATTGAGTAGACGACACGATTTCGTACAAATAACGTCTATATTTGGTTGAAAAGTTAAAGGTGAAAAGGTGAAATTTTCAGATCATTGAAAAAAAAAAGAAAACTGGGTTTGCAACATCTTTTCAAATCTGTCATTGGACCAAAGTGGGACCAAAGTAAGACCGACCAAATACAGCCCAATTTTCAACACCTATTTTTGGTCTAAATCAAGACTATGACAGACAGACCAGATTTAGCCTTAAAACCAATGTCTAAATGATGTCTGGTGTTTGTTGGGACAGATCTCTGTGCAATGGGGCCCTGGTAAGCCACATTGTCCTTATATGAAAATAAATCCATTCTAGACAAGTTTTCTATCTGATGAAGAGCCTTGATTGGATGTATGAACTGCAAATTAAAACACAAGATAATAAAAAAGAATATATGCAAAGCAGTGCATTTACACCAAACACGTTTTGGTGTCAAAGCATGGATGCCAAGTGTTTGAGCTTGAGTTCAGAAATTTTTACTCTTGCCATTGGACTCCTGAGCATTAACCAATCAACTGCATATGAAAAGTAAATAAATATAAAGGGGTTAAACAAAAAAAAAAAAAATTTTAATGGACTGTTATGTATAAGAGAAAGAGAGCTAGTTCTAATCACATTACTGCACTAAAAAATGTTTTTATGAACTATGGCAAAACAGTTTATAGATACGCAAATTAACTAAAGATTTTATAACCTGCTGACCAAAAATATTCAATTGTATATTCTGGTTCTTTAAGTTTTTACCCCCACAGACTGGCAGAGAGCTTTCAGTTGGGATTCCCAGCAATGCCACCCACCAATATGCTGGGGGTATCACGCTTGGAAGAAGAACTGCCTATTTTAGTGGGATCATAATCCCAATGAGTGTTAAAACTATTTTTCCAACTCATGAAAGTAAATAAAGCCAAGCTACACCAAACCAGTAGGTGTTTGGTGTGAACGCCCCTTTGAGCTTCCAGCATACGTGGAGTAATGTTGTCAGGGGAAGTTTAAACATTATTACTTAATGACATATTCAAGATCTGTGTCCATTAGATCCTTAAATTCTTCTCTAATAGATTGTGATTAAAATTTTGTTTTTGTTGCATGGCTCTGACCAAGTGGGAATTGACCTTCCCTCTGTCTCCAGCCTAAGATTACTGGAATGTTAGTTACTGAGGCCTATTAACTTAGAGCTGTTAGGATACAATGAAAAAAAAAACACACAAAAGAAAAACATTCTTACATTTAATGGGTTTAACTCTTGTGCTATTTCTTCCAAATGTTTCCATTTCTTCCAAAATGTTTGATGTATTACAGTTAGAGTGTTTAGGAAACACCATTCTCACAGTTATTACTGCATATTTTCCTGTCATTCTCTTGAATGTTTGGTTATCAAGTTCAGCAAGGTCTAAATAATTTTTCTTCTGTGCAGATAAAAAGTTTACAAAAACAGAGACTGTTCTGGTAGCAGACTGTTGGTCGTTAACCTTATGTACAGGAAATTGCTCAAATACAGAAAAGCCTAGAATGATACTGGACATGAAGGCATGTTAACCGGAACAGAGCGGATGCTACACGCTACTGCTCAGATATTCTGCCTTAAATCTAAACACACATGCTGATCTTTGGCAGAGCAGTTCTTGTTTTTTCTTGTAAGTTAACAAAGACCCTTGTGTGAAAGGGGAGGTAAAAGTGAGAAAACATTGCACACACCCACACAGCTTTTTGAGAAATGATGTCAGAGGTCAAAGAGGGTGGTGAGGTGAAGTGTTGAGGAGTTTGTGTGTGTCACAGATGAGGGAGGGTGGAATCTTTTCTGTATAAATTCTGAGCCCCTCTGGAGCCATTAGGACTTTACGGACACATTTAAGCAGCATTCAAGCCGCAGACGAATACCTGTGATGGCTAATCACAACAGTAAGTAAAAGCCTCTCTTTTATAAAGTTTTTATCATCTTTGCAACTGGAAAATTCATAGGGAGATTGTGTTATGTGTCAGAAAAAATGGTTTGCGAGTCGACATGATGGTGTGAGATGACCAACCGCATTCCCGCAGCAAACACAAAAACAGCACATAGGACAAAGATTAGGCTCTGATGAGGTGACCTATAGCATGATCCAGGTCACCAAGAGTCCCTCAGAGTTGCCTTTATTGTTTATCTCACGTTTGGACTAATTGTAATTTCCTTCTATTAGCTTTTAAATAGAAATAGATTTTCAAGATGCATCTACTTCAAATGGTAAGACTTCACAGAGTAGTTGAATATTATCTAATGGCTTTTTAGTGCACTAGCTTCACCCAATACAAACATTTAGATAAACCAAACATTCTGAAAATATTTCTACAGATTTTAGTAGAATATAAATGAAACAACATTAAGGGCATGTATATTAAATGTGTTGCAAATGCATTCCTACTGAAACATCACCATCACAATCCTATTTATAAAGCAGGTTTATAAACAGCAGCTGACCAAAGTGCTGGAGAATTCAAGTACTGATGGGATAAGAACCAGCAGCACACCAAATCCTTGACAGATACTTTTCCAGGTTTTTTTTATATAGAACACAAGTGCAAATTGAGCACATGCTGATCAGTTAAAAAGCAGTGTTTTACTAAAAACTACCCCTTAGAATTGATGCATTGGAATTGGCTCATGGTGATTTTGGGCCAGACTTACAGTATTCCTGCTTCCATCCCACTATTAAAAATGATTCCTTATGTTGTTAAAGACAAATACATCATAGTGTGTGAATTGGGTTCTATAAAAGGACTTTTTTTAAATGAGAAAGCTTTCAATGTTTCTGCTATTGTTGTCAGGTTTCATTGTCGACGTGGACCTCAGAAGCCATGAAAATAATCTGGCTCACCGCACCAGGGAGATTGATCGGGAGCGCTTGATTGTCCGCAGAGGTCAGCCCTTCTTCATAACTGTGCAGTGCTCGGACCCCCTTCCCCCCAACCATCAGCTGGAGCTGGTCCTGCACCTCGGTGAGCCCACAATGAATGATTCGCTCAGCAACTAACTTTTTGATAAGGAATTCAAGAGAAAATATGAGATAATGTAATCTGTAAAAAAAAGAAAGTTTGGAATTCTTAATTTTTTTTTCCTTAATTAAGATCTGGTTTCAATATAATTTTCTAATCTTTACCTCTTATCCTCAATCTTTTAAGTGAGACATTTGTAAAGGGAACTGATAACAATGCAATATATCAGTTAAAAGTTAACTCACAAGGAAAAGTTCAGTTTGGACATACAGTGATTTCAGACAAAATTATGCACCACAAGGCAGAAGTAGTGAAATGGCCTGATGAGTAATTTAACATTTAAAGCCATTTCACAATAGGACCAAAATACTAGATTCAAGCCCTCAATATGACCAAGGGACACAAGGTCACTGTTTTGTAATACACCAGTAATTCATAACATGCAGATCCTGTATAGAGTATACTGTAGCCCACATTCTGTGTGTCTGAGAAGCCAAATATTGAGAAAAGTGTCTCATTATCTGATGCACAATTCCAGCAGGATAGTGCATGTCCTTTGGATAAAATAATCTAAAACAGGATTCCTGGCCATGCTAGTGAGTTCACTGTGGTGTCCACAGGCCCCAGATCTCTATCCAATTAAGTACATTTTAGATGTAGTTAAGCACGATGCTCATATCTTGGGCTTACTGCTTGAAAATCTGCACTATCCGTATTTCAATATCTACCAAAATCTAACTGGAATACATGATCTTAGCTCGTTTTAGATGCTGTGATGAAACATGAGCTTATGGCGCAAGACAGTAGGGCAATAACTTTACAAAAATAGCTGCAAACAATTGTAAAGTGAGAGATGCACTTAGACAATCCATTTGCTTTTATGGTTTCTGTTTCACATGCAAGCTATTGGTTTGTTTTGCAATCTGAGAAACAATACAGTTACATGACCTTACATTCCAAAACCAGGAAAGAGATAAAAACGGCATGTTCACAGGCTCATATCTTGCCTTAACTACATTTTTTAATCTTTTATTTAGTTGTGCTTTTCTCTGTTAAATTTGTCTAAGCTTTGATTTTTATCAAGCAAGTTGGAGTCATTTTTGGCTGTGCTCATTATGGCAGACTGGCTGATAGAACTTCTGGCAGAGAGCTCCTCAGCTGTTTAGTAGACATTGGTCGTCCTGACCCAACAAAAAGTTTCTAAAGCTTTTTACTGTATATGCTCACTAAAAAGAAAAAAAGTCAAAGTTTTTTCTAACTTGAAAAAAAATTGTTATGTCTTTAGCACAATGACAACTATGTAATTCTGCAGTTTTTAAAGAATATCTTGCAAATCATCCACTGGGTTATAAGAAAAAAAATATCATCATGTGCTGACTCCAACTTTGAGTTTTCTTTTCTGATCTAAAAACTTTAAGGTAAACAAGAAGATGTGGTGTTTAAAGTTCAGAGGCAAGGGGGCGGAAGAGACAGGTGGCGTTTTGACGAGCAGGAGGTTCAGGGTGAAATATTATTGACCTTGCACAGTCCAGCTGACGCCATCATTGGGCATTACCGTCTCACTGTGCTGCTGATGTCACCGGATGGACACATTGTGGAGAAACTGGATAAAATCAGCTTCCACCTGCTGTTTAACCCCTGGTGTAAAGGTAAAGGATGCTTTCTTAAGATCAATTCCTTCAAGGCAAATCAAAATGTTCTATATTTTCATTTTCTTTTTCTATTAATTTACTTATGCCTTTTTCATTTTAATTTATTCTATGATTTAGTTTTTAAGAAAGAAAGCTTATACGTTTGAATTAATCGATTGACTATGCTGCTTTAAGTTTCCTAATTTGCTGTTCTTTAAATATTTGGTGTTTAAACTCTTCTTAAATTAGAACAAATAATTCAATGTGTTCTTATTTCAAAAATTTTAAACAAATAGATTCACTCGATTTATGTTGCACCAAATTAAATCATTTTACAGTAAGGCACTTTGCAAAGCCATTTCATCCAGGTAATACAGATTGGTGGTATGTTTTCAACCTAAGGATACCCAGCTAGTTGCACTGCATCATTGATTTTGCAGAATTCACTTTTCCTGGTTAAGCATGTAGCAACAGTAGACAAACTTTTTTATGCTGACGCTGAAGCAAGCGATCATACTGAGGACACAGGGACAGTGGTGAGGAACAGCTATTTTTAAACAATAAGAAGACTCTAGCAGGCTAACTGGAGGTTCAAAAAGGCAGAGGCAGACACACAGTAGCACTGATCAAGAAATTATTTCTATGCTAGAGAAGGTAAACTACAGTTAACCACAGTAAAAGCTGAGTCCATACGAATGTCTTGGAGAGAAACAGAACTTCACTCGGAAAAAAACTGGCCCAACATGAGAGCATTCACCAAAAAAGTTGGCTGAATTGGGCTCCCAACTGGACAACAGCTGTGGACCTGCTGCGATGGTTAGTAATAAAAGCTGGATTAGACCTCCCTGATCTAACAAACACCGTTGCCGCAGGAAGACCCAGTGAAAGTATTTTTCTGCTGCATCACCCCCTGCCTCTGCTTAATGTGCTGTCATCTTAGAACAACGTTGTTGACGGCAGAAGCATGGCTTACGCCTGCCCTCATGATGGTTTCAAGGCTAAACAAAGCCCCAGGCCAGTTGTACATGTAGGCACCTTCAAAGTGAAAAAACAAAAGCAACATAGAAGTAACATTTAAACAAACATATAGTGTAAAATCTGAGATGGGAAAAAAAAATTGCAATAAGGAAATGTGGTCTCTACATCCTCCACCAGCCTTAAGCCTATAGAAGCATAACCACAGTGATACATAGCTCAGGATGAGCATGGATACTCTAACTTTAATCTTTGCCAAAAACATACATTTCAAAGATTGCCTCATAGATAAAAACTGCTGTTTGGTTCTACAGGATAGGAGCCTTCCTTTCCACCTGTAGAACCTCTAGGATCCATTCCTAAACCAGTACTTTTAGAGCAAAGTGTTCTTTAAGAACATAAAGAATATTCAAATTTCGGACATACTTGTGCTATCATCCATACCTTCACAAGCAATACTGGAGCTTAAAGAAAATTGAACATTAAACTTAATACATCAAAGTATTTCTTTCAACATACAAGTTAAAAGTTTGGATAAAGCTAACCATTTTGATCACTGAGAAACTTAAAAGGGTCAAGCTAAATTCAGATTCCAGGGTTACCGTCCAATGCTTATATTTGGAACAATAGCACTGATTAAATCAATTTTATGGATAAAGACATAAAATATCACCATTGCTGCAACCTTTATCTTTTTTATTGTTTTCTGTCTTTGTTAATCAGATGATGCTGTTTACATGTCTGATGAAAGGCTGCTGAAGGAGTACATCATGAATGAAGATGGGGTGATATACATGGGGACCTCGGACTACATCAGAGGCATTCCATGGAATTACGGACAGGTACCTTGGCCACAATCAGAAACAGATATTTATTGTGGGAAAGCGGTGAATCTATGTTTGGGTCTATTTGCCAGGACAGAGTTTGGCCTATGAGACTTTTCTCAGCAATGTGTCAGCGGAGGCTGTGAGGATCAGATGTATTGCAAAATCTGTTTGCTAGACAGAAATGACTTCTTGGCAAGACATGTCAGAATGTAACTGATCAAAACAAACAGCAGAAGAAAAAAAAAACCTTGCTTGTGCTTTGTTTTCTGGAAAACATATACTGCTTAAAATAATTCTGTTTCAGAACCAAACAAGGAAGACATTCCCTAAAACTCCCAAAGAAAAAAAGAAAATATCTTTAGCCATATTTCTAGTGAACTAACACCACACCACAACATGAAAATCAGCCAGAGGTTTTCAGATGCATCATATTTAAAATGAGTAGGTGTTAGAGTTTACTTCTGTGCAGAGGTCATTGTGGTTGATTATCATGGTGGCAGCATTTCTAGATCCTAGGTGTAGACTTTGGAAGTTGCAGTCAAAGATGATCCATCCGGTCTGAGATGCCCAGAATGCACAGTGAAAAATATATCTGTATATTTTTTTTCCATTTTTCTTTTTTTTTTATCCAACTAGGGCTGCAACTAAGGAATATTTTTCAGATAGATTAATATGTTGATTATTTCTTTGATTTATAATCAGATAGCAAAAATTTAATCAAAGAAGAGGTGAAACTAAAACTTTTCCATTTGAGGAGTTCTGGGTAAACCATATTGACAATTTTCCTTTTTTTTTTTTTTAAGATAAAATTAAATGTATTTATTTTTTTACAATTTAGGTATACAGTATTTATTGCTTTAAATGGGTTGCTCTGTCAGCTAAATGCTTGTTTTAGAATCTCCATAATCCAGGTAGCGTTAAATTAATTACTAAGTAGTTGATAATTATTTAAGCAATCGTTTTATCACAATTAATCAAATTAATTGGTTCAGACCTAAATCCAACATACATTACAATTTTTTCAAAAACAAAAATGTATTTTAGAATTCAAAAATGATCAACGGGATCCTCTTCTTAGGCTTATCATTATATGAACAAAAAGAATTAAGTGATCAATAGCAAAAAATTATCAACCTCTTACTGAAAAGTTAACCACGGATTTAAAAACTGCTAAGTTGTTTTTCCTATTCCTGTTTTTTTCCCCAAAACTCTTTTTCCAAGTTTGAGGACTTTGTGATGGACATTTGTTTTGAAGTCCTGGATAACTCCAAAGATGCTCTGAAGAACTCAAAGAAAGACATTGAGAACAGATGTGACCCGGTCTACGTCAGCAGGATTATCACTGCAATGGTAAGAAATTCGTCTTTACTGATAGTAAACACTCTGCCTGCACAGAAGTACACATGGTTTGAGGAATATAAATCTTGACCCACTGGAGATTTAGGGAGTTTTTCGGTTTAATCTCCTGTACTGTGCAATGGAGTTAAAACAAATTTTAACCCTTAGCATTCTGAAATAATGTGTTTCATTACCGCCTTTGTAGGTGAATGCGAATGGTGATAGAGGTGTGCTGATAGGGAAGTGGAGCTCACCTTACCTTGATGGAGTCGCACCAAGTCGATGGACAGGCAGCGTGCCCATCCTCAGACAGTGGAGCAAAGCTGGAAGCAGAGCTGTCAAATATGGCCAGTGCTGGGTATTTGCAGGTGTTGCGTGCACAGGTATCAATTTCACTTGGTTTTGAGCTTTTCTATTTATAATTTCTGGCAAATTACATCTTTTACAAATTTTCCCCATTGTGCCTATTATGTAGTTTATAATTCTTAAATATGTTATAGAAGATATGAGCATGTCTACTTGACAAATAACAGAAGTTAAAACCAAAGGGAAGTAGAAATAAAGAAAAAGTGATCCAAAAATAATGTTATCTTTTTATAGTTCTTCGCTGTCTGGGAATCCCGACACGCCTCATAACCAACTTCTCCTCAGCCCATGATGTGGATGGGAACCTATCCATAGACTTTGTGGAGGATTTTGAGAGCAGAGAGGAAAGGAAAGACAGCACATGGTAAGATTTTTTATTCATTTGTACTTATTTCATGTTTTATTTTTGTTCTTTATTTAATTTAGACAAGGCAAGTTTTCTTCCAAAAAAATATGATGCTACATGTTGGCCTAATAGAAAACACTGTACCTGAAAATACAGATATATTTGCTAATCCACGTTCACTTTTACTGCCCCTTAAAGAAATAAAAAAGCGTAAAGCAGCAAGTCATAAAGTGTGTGCGATGCTAAAAAAATTTATCGGATGATGCTGCTCTGATCTTATCTGTTCTAATTTGTTGCATCCATGTTTGCAAAGAAGGAAATACATCAGCAATGAGCAGAGAAAGGCAGCTGCTCATGTGACGTTTCTATTTAATCCAACCATAGAACGATTCAAACTTAATTGAGAAACATTTAACTTTAATACTACTTTTTCAATTTGATCATTGCTCTTCTCCTCAACAAACTTGTAGTAACAGTGGAGATTTCATTCCATGGTTTGCATACAGTATCTCTTATACTGAGCATGCATATAGGGTCATTTAAGTATCTCTAAAACAAGTATGTCTTGTTTGGAAAGCTGTAACGAAATCGTATCTCCTTGGCAAGAAGAACATATCATCAAAGCTTGAAAAAGGAGTTTATTTTAACCACAAGACTACTAGAACAGCATCCTTTGGAAAGATGACACTAAATTAGGAATATTTAAGCATTATGCACACTATTTTTGGATCAAACACAAAGATCAGCGCAAACACTTCATACAGACTGTTGAGCACAATGATGGAGATCTGAGAAGTGGGGCTGGTTCTGTAGCTGCAAGGTCATGGCACTATGTAGTTATCAATTCAAGGATGAAATCCTCCACATAAAAATGTGTACTAGGGTTGAATGTGAGAACCTTTACCTGTCTGGATCAGTAACAGACAATGGCCTAGTCAAAGTCCAGATCTAAACCTGATTAAAACACTGAAAATACCTCGGGCAACATTCTACAGAGGAATGAGCTGGTGTTTAATGATGTTTAAAAATTATGATGCCAGTTATAGAGGTTGGAAATAATGACTAAAAAAGCCTTTTTTTAACACTTGTGCCTTTGCAATAATTCAGAAAAAAAAACTTTTGACTTTATTTGATTTTAGGAACTTCCACTGTTGGGTCGAGTCCTGGATGAGGAGAAATGACCTTCCAAAAGGAAATGATGGCTGGCAAGTTTTGGATCCAACACCCCAAGAACTTAGTGATGGTTCGTTTCCAGTCACTTCTAATTGCTCAGATATCTGTTCTTTTACTTATATGATACTAAAAATTGCAAGAATTTACACCTTATCTTTGTCTTAAAATCCTCAAATGTTTCTACAAGTGTAACCTAAGGTTTATTTGGATAGGATGACATATTTTTCAAAAAACTTAAATAAAATTGATGAATTGCTAGTTCACATGTGTCTAATAACACGTACACATCCTAACCTTAAAACTTTACTATCTTAAAAGCAGGTACAAAATGACTTGCAAGTGCAATTAAGTATTTTTTATATCTGACTTCATCCAGCACTTTCAAATAATTGCTATTATTTTTCACGCGATTACTGTTATTATTAACAAACAACTACATGGCTTAGGACCTCATCTTTCTCATATGGCCAGTCTCACACTGCCAGTAGCACAACCAATCTGCTCATTTCAATGGTGGAACTAAATCGGTTTGTGCATTTTATTAATTGCGTGAGCAATCTTTGTTTATAAAGTTTAATATGCCCACATTGCAAGCACAAAAAAATGTACTCCTGTAATTCAGCGCTTCTCATTTGGAATCTGTGAAGATCAGGTCCATAACTTTACAAAAGTTATCTTGAACTAAATGTAAAAATGTTTTTAGGGGAGTTTTGCTGTGGTCCCTGCCCCGTGTCAGCTATCAAGGAAGGAAATCTGGAAATGAAATATGATGCCCCCTTTGTATTTGCTGAGGTGAACGCTGACATCATCTACTGGAGGGTCCTACCAGGAGGCCGGAAGCAGAAGGTTCTCCCTTTCTTGTGAAAATTTAAAAAAGAAAAAGTTTTCCCTGGCCGGAAAAATTTCAATAATCTCTGCAAAAAAACTGTTTATCTTGCTGTAACAGATAAGTGTGGACCAGAGAACTGTGGGAAGGAACATCAGTACTAAAAGTGTCTATGGTGACATCAGAGAAGATGTTACCCTGTACTACAAATACCCTGAAGGTCAGTGGCAGGGGAGAACAAGGAGGAGGTCTTTATAAAGAACTCAAATTTAATTTATTGCAGTTTATCTCAGAATTTAACATTTAGTATCATGTTAATGCCTTAAACTGCGATTTATTTATTTTTTGCAGGCTCTAAGGAGGAGAGGGAGGTATATAAGAAGGCAGGGCGCAGGCTCACCCCATCAAATGATGAGTGCAAACCATCAGCACAGCTAAACATGTTGATTAAACATCCTAACCCTGTGTTTGGAACAGACTTTGATGTGATTGTTGAGGTATACAATGATGAGATTCTCTTTTTTTCCCCCCTTCATAACATTGATGATGTCTAAATGAGGATGTATCTGCTCTTGTCATAGGTGAAGAACAAAGGATGTGAAGATGCTAATGTTCAACTGGCAGTTCGTGCCATTGCTGTCACTTATAACTCTCTCCACCAGGGAGAGTGCAAGAGGCAGACGAACAGTGTGACAGTGTTAGCTCAGAACGGTCAGCAGATGTTAATATATCACAGTCAGTTGTCCTGCTGCAGGGACCAGCTGATCTCTTTTTATGTTTTGTGTGTTTAGCTCATAAAGAAGTGCTGCGCTTCCGCTATGAGGACTACGCCAAGTATGTTGCTGAGCATAATCTGATCAGGGTGAAAGCCCTTGTTGATGCTGAGGGTGACAGTTTACCTATCATGGCTGTGGCCGATATCCCATTGAGCATGCCTGAGCTCCACATTCAGGTGAGCATGCAGCAAACAAGCAGGGCAGAGCTCATTCTTTGATTTTAACTGGATGTGAGTGAAAGGCATCGGTTATGACAGAAACATGCCCAACTTTTAGGTGACCCACAAATGTATAGTGCAGCACAACAAGGTCTCCACAACCAGTTACCCCATTATAAAATCAGCCAAACATACAATTCGTCAACTAAACATAGAGAGCCACACCAAAAAAATCATCACCATCGGCATGGTTGAAAACCACATTAAAAGTCCCTGCTTTCACACAGCCAGGAACACTAAAGTGGGCTGACCTTTGCACAGCACCAAAGGTCACGATACAGGAACAAGATAAACCCTCTTTAGACAACATCCTGAAATACAAATGGTGTAAAAAGGCAGCTCTGCAAAGAGGTAGAGCTGCAACAGGATGCATTCATGTATAGGAAAAAGTCAAATGTAATTTCATCATTTAATTTACAAATGACCAAAATGTAAAAAAAAAAAAAAAGCTTCTTAATTGAAACTTTCGCCTCTATTAGATATAAAATAAATGAAATTCAAATAATTTATTTCAGGATAAAAACTGTCATTCTTAATCTTTACAGAAGCAGCAACTCGTAGTTCCTGATAATCATTTTTCAGATACAGTGTGCAGCAGAGAACAGTAGGTTAGATTAAATTATAGACACATTCTGCTTTTCCTGTTCTGAGCTTTTAAGGTTGAAATATAGTGTTTACTGAGACTAATGATCTACTGAGACTAATTTACTGAGAGTAATTAATGTGTGGACCATTTTGAGAAAGGAAATAAACTACAGAATGAGCAAAAGTAGGAACCTTTAATACCCACATCTGCTAAAATTATTTAAAATCAAATCTGCAGCTTCCTAAACGTGTTTGCTTGGAGAATTCTATGGTACTTTACAAGATAGCCCTCAACCCTATGTTACAGAGAAAGTTTGGAAAAGCAGCAAAAAAAAAAAAGCCAAACACACTAAATCTGTACCCCAGAAATTATCCAACTGTATAAGCTGGCACTACAAAAAACAACTGGGGAAAAAAAACAATCAACCAAAAGAGGATGCTGCTTACAAGGAATACCTCTTTACACATTACAAACAGAGCAATGCAGAAAATACAAGGCCTGATCTTCAAAGATCCAGAATAAGAGGAGCTGAATTGTGTGTGCAATTTTTTTGTTGTGCATAAAGTAAGTTGGGATGATGCGTGGGATCTACAAAGACTGCTATGCAAATGTTAAAAACCTGTAATCTGTGTCTTTTCTGCCCGTTAAAATGAGCAGATGTGTGTTTATTAGAATGACCAAAAAAGAAAGATGAGGTTCTAAGCCATGTCGTAATTATACTAATCATAATACCAAATTATGTTTATTAAACACTTTGCACAGGTAGCCTAGCTCTAAGTGCTACTGACAAAAGTAAAATATGAAGTGATGAAAATAACTAAAACATGAATAAAATGAAATATCATGACACAAAGGTCTTAAAACAGCTACAAAACGATAAAACCATTCTTTGTGCTTTGTCAAAACTGAGGGAGAAAACAATCCTTTTTCGAAAGAGTATGAAATTTTACAATAGGGTGGACTGAACAGTGAGAAGATCAGATTGTGGGATATTGTTTAAGGTTCTATTCCAGCTTTTAACTTCTTCACAAAATTCTCCCTAACCTCTCCACTGTGTTCCTTGATCTTCATGTTGCTGTTTGTTTACATGTGTTATTTACAATGTCCCTAAGGTTCCAGATTTTAATTTGTTTTACATTAAAACATTTTTTCTGAATCAATACCAGTGTGCAACATATGTTCTGATTACAGAACATCAGAGATCATGGGTCTAATATCATCAAATATGGAATAACAATGAATATTTTTGCAAGGCTCTATATGTATCAGGATAACTTACAGGTCTAGAAAACAGTTCATCCATTTACTTTTTTTGAGTATATGAAGACTATCTTCTTTGTTCCCAAGGTTCTTGGAAAGGCTTTTGTTTTGGAGCAGTTGACAGCTTATATCTCCTTCACCAATCCTCTCCCAGTCCCCCTTACTGGGGGTGTGTTTACTCTGGAGGGGGCCGGCCTGCTGTCTGACACTCAAATCTATGTTGAGTAAGTAAAGACAGTTTGAAAAGGAAGCAGACCATCACTAGTGTTCCATAACCTTGCTGTTTTTTTTTCCCCCAGCGGTGTTATTTCACCAGGCCAGAAGGTGTCAGTGAAGATCACCTTCACACCGATGAGGACCGGGATCAGGAAGCTTCTGGTGGACTTTGACTCTGACAGGCTGAAAGACGTCAAGGGAGTCACCTCCATGGTTGTTCGCAAGAGATACAGGAATATGACCCCTTTGTTATATGGACGTTTTTAGGAGACCAGTGAAAATTAGAGCATTGTGTATTGGGAGAACCAATGGGAGTCTGACTGCCATGTCCCACTGCCGCAGAGCTGGACCCAGTGACACAACCTATATAGACTTTACTATAAATGATGTTAACCCATACTTCATTTCTGCTCTTGCTTCATGCTGTAGTTGTTGTTGCAGATCCAAATTTCTGGGGTACAGGACAAAAACAAATGCAAAAGAAAATAAATTCACACTTCTCACTGAAAAATCTGTATATCTGATGTGAGTTTAAAACAGTAATCTATGATTTAGAGGCAAAATATTTCTTTGCGCTTCTTCGGGTTTTATCCCCTTATTTCCTACTGCACTTAAAACAGCAAAATAGCTGTCTGTGAACGTATTCCTTTGGATGCATAACATGTAGACATATTGTTACTGGCTTGTATTACTATAAAGAGTGAAACAATTTAAGAAATCTGTCTGGTTTTGTTACTTGTTTCCAGAGGGCAGTGAATATCGGGGTGGCATTATTTCCAGATCTCAGTGTAGAATTAGAAAGACTTAAACTCATGTTTAAAAGAAGTAACTTCTTGCAAAGTTTAGGGTTTTAATGTAACACACTGTAATTCTTAACTACTTCAACAACAGAACAACATTCCATATATGTTCTGCCTTACCATTCTGCCACTGATAAAAACAAAAAGATAAAAATATAAATGAAGATTAAATTCCATCCTGGATAATTTCTCTGCTTAGAAAATAAGTTAAGTCAAAAGGTTTGTGTTAATCATTATTTCTCAGTTACAACTAATAAAAATGTGACATGACAACATAACATTATTACATCACCAGACCAATGAAACATTTTATTACAGAAATAATAAAAATACCTGTAATTCTTGCTCAAAGGTTCTTTTCAATAGGTACATTTGGATTCGTTAAGACACTCTTCGGAGATCCATATTTTAATATAAGCTTAATGGGACCTAGGACACATTAAATTGGGTGAATCCTACATTGTTTTATCAGCGATGTGTCTCTAATAATAAAGTTTATACTAATAAAGATTTGTTAATATAAAATTGTTCCTTAGCATGCATGTCCTCTCATGTGCCATAGTGTCATCACTAGTAAATCTTTCTTTAAACTTTGTTCTAATCTCTCCTCTTGCACATTATTTTCTTGCACTTCTTGCAGCTAAACGTTTTTTCTGTTTCCAGTTAACTATCATTCATCTCTCCAGAGCAAAGCTTATTCCCTGCTTAAAAATCTAAATGCTTCTTATACGTAAAAAATGTTTACGAGCCATTAGTGACAGATCATGGTCCAGACATTGCAGTAGCTCCGCTGGTTAACAAAAAGATGTAAAGAAGCTTAAAAAGAATATATTAAATAATGATATTTATAGAGAAAAATAAAATGTGGATAAATAAAACATAAAGAGGTAACAGGACAGATATGACTATATTCATGTATAACATTAGCAGGTGAGTTATTATAAAGTGTCGTGTAACAAACATCATTAAATATTAATTTATAGACAGGGTTGTGGGGGGTCACATGTTAACATCTTGCACAACTACAGTGAGGTATTATTGTACATATATTGTTATTCTGTAGTTATTGTTTAGCAATCAGTCTGAGTATGGCAGAAAAGAAGCTATTTAAAAACTGTGGCAGACTGTGACAGACATTTATTAGCTTGACTGAATATGTAATCCAGATGTCTGAAATGCATTTCTTCCTAGTCAAAATGAAAATTTCAGATATCTGAAATGTAACTCTTACTAGGACAAATGACGTCGCTTTTCCCCATTTGTGTGTATTGGGCCGTTATTTTCAGATATCCGAAATGACATTACTCCTACATTCTGGATGTCTAAAAATTAATTTCAAATCACTGCAATCCAATTGCTATTGGTCATACCGTAATTTTTATTTATCAAGAATGAAGAAAACATTGCAGATAAGTAATATTATTTCTGACATCTAAAATATATTTTTAATTGTAGAAATGTCTTTACAGATATCTACAACTACATTTGTACCAGGAACAATTTAGTTGTGGATAGGAGTAATGTCATTTTGGATATTTGAAAGTAGTGGCCCAATACACATGAATGGGGAAAAGTGACATTTGTCTTTGTCATTGTCTGAGTTACATTTCAGATATCTGAAATGTTCATTTAAGATAGGGAGAATACTATTAAAGATATCTGAAAAACAAAGAAATATATGTTCAAACATCCACTTAAAATAAGCAAAGATTTTTTGACATCTGAAATGTAGTTATTACTAGTACATATTTGATTCCAGACTTAAAATTTTATTTCTACTGCTAGAAATGTAATTAGTGATATCTAAAATACAATTCTGACTATGAGTATTGTAATTGTGACTAGTTAGAATGCTTTAGTGCTATCTATAATAGAAATGTGTCATGATGGGTTCACTAAAAGCGACCCAAGAATGCAGAACACCACTGACGGACACAGGGATGAAAGTTTAACAGTTTATTTATGGACAAGCACACAGAATATACTGGTTCAGGTTCGGGGCCTGGGTTCTGGTTCACCGGAGTCTGCGTGAGAGACAGTTCAGTTAGTGTTGCCAACAGAGGTTTGATTTCCTGAAGTTTACTGATTGTACCTTGAGGGTTCTTGTGGTTAGCTTTGGGAGAGTCACTGTTGGTTCTGGAGAGGAGTTCATCAGCAGAGTCCGTTTGCTGCTTCAGCGTCTCACGTCTAATTTGAACAGACCTTGGCTTTGGGTTTCCCAGCTCTAGTCCAGAGCTGCTTGGAGGTTCTCTGTGAATCTTCAGGTTTGGCTCTGAGGGTCGGCTCGGCAGGTTAGCTCTTCCTGAGCTTTCACAGAGGAGGCGCAGGCTACCTGGAAAACAGAAACAAGGATTAGAATCCAAGCTGGATTCAAAAGTCATCGAAATACTCTGAGGATCTAGGCTTAAGCGCTGACCAACTGGAACAACACTGCGGCGTTGAGGCAAGGTCTGAAGACAGCTTAAGTAGTGGATCCTCTGATGATCTTGACGAGCTGCAGCTGTGCAGGAGGCTCCCTCAGAGGATCCACGGCGGACTCTGCTGGAGAAAGATGGGATTTCTCCAGCTCCCAACAAAATGTAACTAGTCAGACTGTTTATTTTATGTTAAAACAGTCTCATTTCTTTTTTATATGTTAGTCAAAATATGTTTTTAAGTATCTAAAAATGCATTTTGGATAGGCATTATCAAAAATTAGATATCTGAAATTCCAATTTAACTCTTCCTATATTGATAGTTGATATCTGTAATTATATTTATACTAGCAGAAATACATTTTAGACGTCAAGAATTGGATTTCTGGATATCTAGATTATATTAATTTTTGATTTCTGAAATAGTGATTATGACTAGCACTAACTTTATTATGAAGATCTGAAATTAGAGTTCATCGTCATCAGAATTCAGTTTTAGATAGGAAGAATGTTCATTTTAGATATCTGGAAGTAAAAGCCCAATACACATGAATGGAAAACGTGACGTCATTTGTACTAGTAAGAATTACATTTAAGATATCTGAGATGTATAATTTAGATGGGAAGAATGTTATTTTAGATATTTGACATGTATATTTTGAATAGAAAGGAATGCATTTGAGAGATCTGAAATATATATTCAGTCAAGCTAATAAATGTCAAAAGGGTCACGAAAAAATTTGTAGAGATGTCTAGGTATTTGAAAGATTATTCGTATTAGTACAATTATATTTTTGGCATCCTGAAATTAAATTCTTGCCAGCAAAAATGTAATTTAGGATATCTATATGTACATTTCTGACAAGTAAGAAGAATCCTATTTTACAGATCAAAAAATGGACCAATAGAGAGGACAGCACTTCTAATAAATGTCAAAACAGCCTGCCATCAAAAAGCACACTGTAATTTCTGTCTGTGCAAAGTTTGACCTGGGGACTTTGAGCTTTTTCTCTGACAGTACAGCACATGTATGGAGTCCAAGGTGTATGTGTGTGTGCTGCCATATTCCATTTTCCTGAATTCTTCACTTCTTTTTTAAGGCACCCTTTCTGGGTCAACCCTGTCACTGTGTTCTAGTGCTTTTCTCAGCTTATGTGTCCTTATTTAGCTCAGACAGTGAGATGTCAGAGGCCTGAATGGAAAATTGTCCTGTTTTTCACTTTGCTCTGAGGTCTTTAGTCCTGCTTCTCATTAAGGAGAAATGTATCACAATGAAAGGTAAACAGTGGTTGATAGTGGTTCACAAAGGATCTCAAAATAAATTATCTCTTTGTCTACTTTCACAGCTTGTCAGTCAATATACAACCACTAGAGGGAAGCATTTGGCTTTCACTGACTGCTTCACATTTAAACTGTGAATTATAATTTCTTTTCATAATTCACAGTGTTTCCCAGTAGCTAAGACACCATGATGGTGGTAAGCATTGCAGCCACAGCTGCCATGGGTCACAGTGAAAGAAACTAGGCTGCTGCATATGTGACAACAGGCCCTCTGGCCATCATCAGCAGGCAATGTTGGTGTGGTGTCTTGGACAAGGACACAGCAGCTGAGAGGGGTAGAGCAGCGGTTACAACCAATGACCCACCTGTTGCAGGACAAAGTCCTGCATCCTACACTACTGATTGCTGACAGGGGGTACTCGTACTTCTATTGGTCTGTGAGTGCACTGCAAGGGGTACATGAAAATATTTTTATTTTCAGGTAATAAAATAGAATAGGGTGGGCATCTATTCTACTTTATGAGGACCCAACCAAAAATAAAACAAGCTTTTTTTCAACCAAAAATTAAGTTTTTCTTATGTTTGAGTTCACTTTCACACATCACAAACCAAGCCAAAGGTTTTTAGGTTCAAAAAGGGAGTTGTTATGTCAACAAATAAAATGAGGAACATGTATAAATAATAGTATCAGTGGGGGACTTACTTTCGGAGACAAACAAAATAAAGTAACCAGAAGCCATATTTTCAGATCCTGTCAGTAAGTCCAAAAAATGCTCATCACAGGTGGCAGACTGCCCACAAAGCCCGAAAGGAGAACTCCATCGTAGGAGTTTTTTTTTTTGTATAAGTTACATTCCTGCTGCCAATTCTGCAAAAAAAAAATTTCAACTTCAAATTGAAGTAGCAAAGGAAAATCAGAAGCCATATATAAAGAAGTTGAGATAAAAATGGTGTTATTAGGTGAAAACGTTCCATGTTCCAAAAGTCAGATGCCCAGATTTCCAGAGCCTTGTTGGGCAGATGTGGTTTAAGGCAAACCTGGACCACATCTGGCTTTTGGGACATAGACTCGTTTCACTGTCAGGTAAGGAACCAAAGCTGTTGTGTGAGGTTGAACAGGACCAATATCCATCAGGATTTTAAAATCGACCATTTTGTACCTACTGAGCAGGAAAACCCAGTATCATTACTGAAGAAAGAGTAAAGAAAATATTTGGGGTGGAGTAGAGCTGGGGGAAATTACATTCTGGAAGGGCTATCAAGGTGGAATTCAGAGAATGACCAAGTTTTAATAAAGCACCCATATTCAATGAAATTGCACTGATATCAAGCACACTAGTCCAAAACTTGATGACTGATTTTTTTAATTGTAACATCCGACCCGAATTGTTATGTCTTCTAAATTTGGGTAGAGAGGGGCAGAGCTTTCAACCAATCAACACCTGAATTGGATCCAGCAGGACAAACAGCTACTTGGTAAACCAAAGCGGGTGGCTGAGCTGGAAACCTGAGCAGAGGAAGATGTCTAAATGAATTTCATTTCACACCCCCAGGAGAATTTCTTTTATTTCCCAGTGGAGTTTGGGGATATGTAATCAGAATAGACCATGTTCATGATGGACACCAGTGGTATTGGAAACCATTAGGCTGGAGAATTAGGTCTTTAGGGCTCGGTCACCCTTGGCACTCCTGCAGCTGACAAACATTAATCTTGACTTTAAGGTCCGTCTGCATACACGAATAAGAAAGATTGAAAGTGTTAAGATAGCCAAAGCTAATTATTTATTATGGTAATGGATCTGTAACAGTGGGGACATTGTCAGAGTGCATCATAAACACTGTGATGTGAGTTTTTCCAGTAAAAATCTAGTAGGCAGAGACTGAAAGTGAGTTGTCAATGGGTCTTTCAGCAGGATGATCCACAATGTGTGATAAAATCGAGGAGCAATATTTTTCCCAGAAACAACCACTTTTTTTCGCAAGTCTGATTTGAACGAAAATAACCCTACAGAAAACATTATTCTGGATGATCCAAAGAGAAGGGTCAAAAAGTTATGGATAAGGATCCATATTCCTGACTGCTCAGACCTCAAGTACTCTCCTAAAGGCAACCGAGGATTTTTTTAATGTCTTTCTACAAGGTCAAACTTAGTCTACTAAAAAAACATATAATTATGTAATTCAGATTGAGCTATTGAGGTAACATAAACATTTGTTTAAAAGCTAAGCTTAACATCTTTTGAAGGTTGCAGATTATTATGAAATCAGTCTAACTGATCCTGGATATGTGCTGCCAATTTGGGGCGATTCCTGTTGCAGAAATAGCTTTTTTTTTATCCATCTACATGACAAAAATGACACAATAAGACATTTTACACAGGTCTCCATTATACAGTAAAAAAGAAACCTTTTTTAAGTTATCAAACAAAACATCAATTTTTAGCAAATGGAGGGAGCAGTTTTACATCTGCTTCACAAGATCACAACACATGGCTGCTGAATCCATTAAATAATTGCATGTATTGACTGATGCCAATACAAGAAAAAATAATAACATCGGGCTGTATCCATCTGTCTCTACTTGGCAGTCTTTCACGTTTCTTTGCAAACTTTTTGTTTTAATTCAAAGTATTACTCAGTAAATTTCCCTTCTGCTATATATATATATTTATTTTTTTTTTTACTTTAACAGATGTTATTTCTCTTTAAAGTTAGCAGAATTTCATGTTTTTTTTTACTTTCACTGTGAATTTACTTATTTCCATTATCTTTCATAACACATGTACCAGTTGGTTCAATCATTATCCATCTGCATATACTATTATTCCTTTATAAGAAAAAGAAAAGCAATGTATTTGCTACAAAGACTGACAGCAATACACATTGTAATTTAATTGCACAATTCAAGACTGCATAAAAATGACATTAAACATGGCAAAAACATTGGTTTGTCATTTCTCAAACAGCATCATATAAATATACATTCAAAAAATTCCCACCCAACATTTCTCTGTACTTTCTCTTTTAAAATATTTTTTATCATATTTCACTCAATAAATATTTTATTTCAAGAAACTTTAATCAAATATTTTCATCTGATTAATATTAATATAAAACATGCATTTGTAATCCTTAGCTTTTGTAAACAATAAAGAAATACTGGCAACATGCAGGATCGAGTTTGGTTAAGGTAAATACAGAAACTGTGCAAAAGCTAACAAAAATATCTCATTGTTAAACAGCCAATTACTTTACACAGTATCCCACTCCTACCCTGCGATGTTGCTACAGCAGCCACTGTGGCCCCATTCTGCTCTGATTTGATCCTTTCCAAGAATTAATCCCCATGGCTCAGATATCTGCTCACAACTTCCAAATAAAAATCTCTCTGTCGTGGCTGACAAAATTCTGCTTTGTTTAGACTCATACTGTGAGTCTTCTGCACATGACGCATAAGCAAGCAGCTTCATCACATCTGCTACCTCATATAAAAACCTGGAGAGGGTTGTTTTACTGTTTGGCTTCAAAACAGGATTTCACACAATGGAGATCCATGGATCGCATGGCCTCTGTCACGTGACACACTGACATGCTAAATAAATAAAAAAACATCCTGTCTGTAATCAACTTCCCAAAACCTGAACACATCCGTGCTGATAAGCTTTTGGAAACAAATTTCACTTGTGATTGACTTACACTTTAAACTGACCCGAAAAGGCTTTAACCAGTATAAAATATAATCTCATAGATGTTGAGCTGTTTTTTTTTTGTTTTGTTTTTTTTCCATTTTGTGACACACACATTTTCATTCTGCATTGTTTTCTTATAACAAGAACATTTTTAGGATCTGTCGTGTTATTGTACAGTGAATACACTCTGGACCTCGGGCTGTCTCACTCTGGTGCTGGATTGATGGGCGGTACATTTCTCTGTTTGAAGTACTGCGTGACCTGCTGAGGAAGCTCAGCCAGGACCGATTTGGCAAGTGTCTCCTTCGGTGCCTAAGGGGAAGAAAAAATTGCCAAACATTATGTTGCTGCACATTATATTTGGTGAGATCTTCTGGCTAAATTCAGGAATGAAGTCCAGTACATTTTTTTTTAGGTAAAATACTTAAAACATAAGCTTCAAAGTATGAATAGAAACATATATTTGGTAATTAGAGGTAGTCAAAAACCTTCAACTTCTAATCAGCTTATTACATAATGCATATGTCCTGATTGTTGAAAAACAAAATGTATATATTCATCAGTACTAGGCTTGTCCCGATCCGATCCACGTATCGGATCGGGACGCCGATATTGGCAAAAAAATGCGTATCGGCAAAGCATGTAAAATGCCGATCCAGACTGCCGATCCAGTTAAAAAAAAAAAATCTGGTCCGTATTTTCCAGTTTGCCGATTGAAACGATCCATTCCACTATTTTGCGCCAGTGTTCCCCTGTTTTGC